CTACAGCTACTACCAGTACTAGTACTTATAGTACCATTTCTAGGACAACCACTTCATCCCCAACAAGCACTACTGATAATAGCACGAATACAACCATTCTTATTACACCTAGTCCAAGTATTAATGGAACTACCATGGATAATACTATTCCTAACATAACCTCTCCACTTTGGACAAGTGCTACTGATTTTAACACTCATACTACTGCTTCTCATACTACTGATTCCTATACAACTACTACTTGGCCTACAGTTCTTATCAGTACTGGTACTTATAGTACCATTTCTAGGACAACCACTTCATCCCGAACAAGCACTACTGATAATAGCTCGAATACAACCATTCTTATTACACCTACTCCAAGTATTAATGGTACTGCCACTGATAGTACTGTTCCCAACATAACCTCTCCATTTTGGACAAGTGCTACCGATTTTAACACTAATACTACTGCTTATTATACAACTACCCCTTCCCCTCCCATGAATGGTATCACTAACACTTCTGATTCAACTACAGCTATTTCTTGGCCTACAGTTACTGCTGATACTAATATTTCTATTACTATTTCTAGTACAACCACTCTAATCCCAACAAGCACAACTACTCTTACTATAACCACTCCAAATCCTGATGATACTACTGTTCCTACTACAACTTCTTCATTCCTGACAAGCATTACCAGTGTTGGAACTAATACTATTATTTCTAATATAACTACTCCCTCTCCCACCATAGATGCTAGCACTAATTCTACTGATTCTTATATAACACTTCCTTTGCCTACAGGTACTACTGGAACTAGCACTCATATTACTATTTCTAACACAACCACACTATTCCCCTTAACCACTACTACTGCCACCACTGGTACAACTATTCTTACTACAGCTACTCCAGGTATTAATGATATTACCACTGATACCACTATTCCTAATAGAACTTCTTCATTCTTAACAAGTACTACTGATATTGATGCTAATACTACTCTTTCTAACACAATTGGCCCTAATATTGCAAATTCTAGTGCACCTACTCCATATCTAACAAGTACTACTGATGTTAGCAATAGTCCTGCTATACATATTACAACAATTCCTCCTTTCACAAAAACTGCTGATATTACCACTATACCCCCTGTTTCCATTACAAGTACTCCTTCCTCTACAAGTACTACTGTTGCTATTATTAATACAACTAGTACTTCCCCAACAAGTAATACTACTGGTAGTATTCATACCACTGCTCTTATTCGAAACACTCCTTCTCATGCAAGTACTACTGCTGCAGACACAACATTCCCTACTGCCCAAAGTTTTCCCACAAAAGGCCTTACAACCATGGATGTTCAACATAATACCTTAGACCCTACACAGGTCACAACTTCACCTACTACTACTGTGACACAAATCTCAAGCCACACAGCATCAGCTTCCACAGCATTTCCTAGTTCAAGCACTACTGAAAACACTACTTCCAGCATGCCAACTGTTACTTTAGGTTCAATGACTACAAGAATTATTAATACCACAGACACAGGAAACATAAATGCAACTACAGTTACCACCGCAGTTACCATGACAAACACTACTTTTCTAGAAGCTGTGTCTCAAGACAATATTACATTGTTACCCCAAAGAAGCCCTGACACCTCCACCACAAATAATACATCTCCCACTGCAGTTACTGAAAACATTACAACTACCTAACATCCTAATATGCTTTAAACACCACTACCAATGCTTTAAATGCCACTTTGACAGCATAGAGATACCACTATACCAGGTATCACTGAGGAAATATGATCAATGTAATAACTGGTATTACAGTTATTATAAATACTTCCAAGACAGACAGTCCCAAGACAGCCACAGACTGCTAACGATGACACCACAAGCACTCCTATTGTTCTATTGCTCCAGGCATAGCGCTCAAGACTCTGACACTTCTTCACACATACAGAACCTTCTCTGACTAGTACAGGTACTAGAGATACCCCAAAGCATTCACTACCACCATAGATGTTTTCAATACAAAAGGTAGACCTTCGATTACTGCCTCTTACACGTAGCTGTTTGTTGTTAGGTGAATTAAGTCAACTACAACTCCCAGAGACCCCCGTAAACTACAGGCATGAATCTGGCCCTATCCTGCCTTCACAAACACTGACATTCTAAGTACTATAATATAGCCATTCCCATCATAGACACCATAACCAGTATAGGGCAGGTATTAAATATTACAGATGTCTCCAGAAAAGTTGCAAAATTACAGAAAACTCTACACACACACACACACACATGTGCGCACGCACACGTACGTATATTTCCTATGACTTGTTAATTCCTGCTATTCCACATTCAGCAATTTATCCTCTAGTAATAAATTCTACTTGCAGTCGTATACTTACCATTGTAAGAAGTGATGCTACAGCCATTGCAGATATTATCACACATGCTTCACGTGCTACCACGCTGACAGAACAACCAGGCGTGCTTCTGCTACTGTCTTTAATCATACTTCAAATGCTATTAATGCCAATAGAGTCCCTTGATTATGACTCCTCTAGGTTGCATAATTACTGTAGATCATGACACATTATCACAACTATTGTAGATGCAGAAAAGTAGTCAACAGATATTTTATCTTGTTTTTTCACATGAACTCCCACAAATATTAGAATTTTAATACTAGAACATATAACACACACAGCTCCTCCAAGAGTTACCATTGCATATATACTTAGAAATGCGTTCAATATTAGCTTTATAAGGATCACTTAGGAAGCCATGGGCACAATAGTCACAATTAGAAGATGTACTGCTATTTTTTTCATTATTGTCATTAATACCTCTGTAAGCTCATCAATTAATAAACTACAGATATATTCTGTAAATCAGGCACAGACATCACAGGTTATTTCAGCTTCTCAGATAAAACTACATTAGAATGTGTATATAGATTATAGATTATAGATAGAGAGAGAGAGATAGAGATAGATGATATAGAGATAGAGATAGATGATATAGATATAGAGATAGAGAGATAGAGATAGATGATATAGAGAGGGATAAATATATAGATATAGAGATAGAGAGAGATGATAGAGATAGAGATAAATATATAGATATAGAGATAGAGAGAGATAGAGATAGATGATATAGATAGAGATAGAGAGAGAGAGACAGAGAGAGATATGATATAGATATAGCTGATATAGATATAGATGATATATATATATATACACACACACACTTTCTTGCTTTAGATGGAATAATTGAAATAGTCTGGCTTCTTTTTTCTATATTCTTTTTGTTTTATTTTATATTGGTTTGCTTACAAAGTTTGTATTCACTGTGTTTCACACTATTCTTCATTCATATTATATTTTATACAATCATTCCCATGCATGATGTTTTATAAAATTAATCACCATTGGACCTTGCCCATCATTACCCCATCTTTTTAGGTCCCCACTGGATTCTCCCCATTTCCTTCACCCCTCCCTCCACCCAGCAGACTGTGAAACCATGTGGTTTTGCCTTCACTCATTCTTCCACTCTCACAACTTCCCTGGATCATCATACACATTTTACTAGTTATCCTTCTATTTTTACAATAATGATCTCATGCAGTATTTGAAGAAATACTAAAAATTACTAGCAATAAGAGAGATGCAATTGAAACCACACTGAGATACCTCCTCATCCCAGTAGCAGTGGCAAAGTTTAGTAGGGCAGCAAGCAATAAATGTTGGAGAGGATGCTGGAAGATCGGAACTTTCATACACTGTTGGTGGGATTGTAAAATGGTAAAACCAACTCAGGAAGACAGTTTGGCATTTCCTCAAAAAGTTGAACATAGAAACTCTGTATGGCCCAGTTATTCTAGTACTAAGAATATACTCCAAAGAAATGGAACTCAGACACTCATGGAAATCAGTATGCCAGTGTTCATAGCAGCGTTGTTCACCATTGCAAGAACATGGAAGCACCCCAAATGTCCATTCACAACTGGATTGAGAAATTGTGGTACATTCACACAATGAAATACCATGCAGCACTCAGGAGCAATGATTTGGAAAAATATTACATAACTTGGGAAAGACTGGAGACCATTATGCTAAGTGAACTAACTCAGACTCATAAGGATAAATACTGCATAAGACCATTACTGGCTCATTTCTCGATTTACAGAATATTAATGTAACATAATAGTAATAGTTGTGAATACTTGTGATTGCTATCACTTGTTATGCATCAGAGAGTTGGACAATGACTAAGGAGGATAAAAGGAAAATTGATGCCTTTGAGCTGTGGTGCTGGAGAAGAGTATCGAGAGTACCATGGACTGCTCGGAAAAGGGTCAAGCCGGGTGGCTCCTTGGAGGCAACGATTCTGAGGCTTCTTCTAACATACTTTGGACATGTTGTAAGGAGGGACCGGTCCTTGGAGATGGACATCATGCTTGGTAGGGTGGAGGAACAGCGCAAGAGGGGAAGGCCCTCTGGGAGGTGGATTGATTCAGTGACTGGGGTTATCAGGATGGGTGTATAGGAGACGGTGTGATTGGCACAGGAGAGAGCAGGGTTTACGGCTGTTGTATATAGGGTTGCTATGAGTCACAAGTGACTCAACGGCACATAACAACAACAACATGATCAATATATACACAAACATATATTCATTGTGTCATAATTATTAACATCACAATATATTATTTAAGTAGTGATAAGGACATAAACAAGCAAGCAAATGTTATACTTTATTATCTTATTGATTTTTCCTATTTCCATAGCTACTAAAACATCAATTTGTTATTCTGTATACTGAAAATATTTTTGCTTCAAAAGACATCCTTACTGTAGTTATCAATACAGAAAATACTAAGGACTTGTACACACCTCAACTACAGGCACTAGAATCATTAAGTTAGGAATAGTGTATGTGCATTTTGCTAGCATGGAAAGTAAAAATACCATTAACAGATAACTAATAAACTAAAACATTAAAAAACATAGCTTCCTAAACTCTGGAGACTTCAATAGGCACTTTAGTACTTTTACTCCAACTTGGAAAAGTATTTCATTCCATAGACACCCCCAATATTTCCAAGAATATGGAACTAATCTTACTTGCGACCTCGTCTTAGATGCTTGCTGTTGACATCAATGAACAGGCTCACCTAGATGCACTGATGTAACCTGGGTCCACCTAGAAGGAGACAGTAGTGTAAGAGTATGATATGGGAAGAGACAGCCTCAGACGCAGAGACATACCTGGACTGTCATTTGTGCTTTCCTTCATGGTGAGGCTTTCTCCTATTATTGTAATGTCCAGATGTGCGTCTTATTCTTGTCTTCCTCATCTTAATTCAACATTTACCAGTAACCCATTTCTAGTTCCTCCAGACCCAATCATTAGACTCTAGACTACTACTAAATGCAACTACTTGGGGGCTACTGAAGTTTCCCCTTCCTGAACAGTATTTATTAAAGTACAGCTTGGGGATCTCTGAAGTCCCTAAGACTCTGTTCAGGATCTACAAGGTCAAGTCTATTTTCACAATTGCTGTTTAGTTGTTATCAAGTTGACCTTTATTCATGGCCACCTTAAATATTTCAACAGAATGAAATGTTGCCCAGCCCTTAACTATTCTCACAACCCATTTTGCGGCCACTATGTGATTCCTGCTGGCAGAGGACTTCCCTCCCTTTGGCCTCATAATTGAATGAGGTTGTTATTTGTATCTGCCTGTCATCGCTCTTGTCTAGGTAGGTGCTTTTCAGGGGCTCCACTATGTGTGTTGCTGCGATGCACAGACGAAAGAATCTCACTGCCTTTTAGTCAATTAAATAGTCAACAGATGTACAAGAATGTAAAATAATGTCATTATGCTATTTTTCTCACTGATTATTTTTGCTTGGAAAAACTTTTTTCATACTTTGTATTATTTATGATATATAGTAGATTTATTGTTATTTTAAGTGAATTAATAAATAAGTATTTTGCAATGATTCTACTTTAATTCTTGTGCAGGGGCCATGCTCATCTTCTCTGTATCGTTCCAGTTTTAGTATATGTGCTGCTGAAGCGAGCACTCTGCTTTAATTCTTGATACAATATTTACACATATACCCCACATAAACAAAGCACTGTGGATTGAGTTACGCTGTAATATCTATCATTTTTAAGAGTATAAAAGCGTTCTAACCAGACAGAACAAATTTCTAAGAAACTAAGAGACCTTAGAGCTGTTGCCATTGAGTTGATTCTCAGTCTTTCATAGTCAATGTATCACAGAATAGAGATTTCTTGGCTTTAATGTTTACAGAAGCAGGTCACCAGACCTTTTCCCATAGTGCCACCAGATGAGTTTCAACTGTCATCCTTCCAGTTAGTAGCAAAGACAATCCACTTGCATCACAGGACAACACTATCCTGGTTCCATGTGCCAGTTCTGATCAAGGATGTCATGACTTTTTCAACCAGTAGCAACACCAGAGTCTATGGATTAACACTTCTTAACCACATGGATATGTGATGCTTCAGAGAGCTGGACAATGACCACGTGGATAGAAGGAGAATTGATGCTTTTGAGCTGTGGTGCTGGAGAAGTGTGCTGAGGGTACCATGGACGACTAAGGAAACAAACAGATTCACCCTGGAGAGGGTTAAACTGGGCTGCTCCTTGGAGGCAAGGACTCTGAGACTTCGTCTGACATACTTTGGACATGTTGTAAGGAGAGACCAGTCCTTGGAGAAGGACATCATGCTTGGGAGGGTGGAGGGCATGCACAGGAGGGGAAGGCAGTCTGGGAGGTGGATTGATTCAGTGACTGGGGCAATCGGGATGAGTGTGTCGGAGACAATGAGATTGGCACAGGATAGAGCAGAGTTTAGAGCTATTGTACATAGGGTCGCTATGAGTCGCAAGCTACTCGGTGGCACATAACAACAACCACCACCACCACATGGATGTCTACCATCTGTCACTTATACATCTTCCACCTTTGATGGAGGTCCATAAGACACATAGAATTATTAGCGGCTATGTCTGCCTTTTGGAATCTGTCCATGAGTCAACCCAAAAAAAGCTGATAGGCCTTATGCCAGAGCATAAATGGCCCTTAAACGGACATTCTCTCTCCAAGAAACAGCTCATGATCCTGAGTTCTACCAATGGACTTTGTCACATTGACCTCACTCACCCTTCTCTTTATGGAAGGAGCTCCATACAGTTGACTTGAGGGTGACCCAAGACCAAGGGTTACGAGCCCTAACTCCTACTGGACCTCACCAGGGTGGATAAAGTGGCCCAAAGCTCCACTGGATGCACTTGAGATTTGGGAAAGCATCATTGTGCTGTACTTACTGAAATTCAACACCTTTGAATATAGAAACGAACCATGATTGAAGGTACAGAATTGTGAAAAAGCAGAGGATACTGTTTTAACTACAGGAAGAAATTTAAGAGTTGAAATGTAAGTTGATGCAGGAAGTGTGTTCTGTGATTAGGCTTGGAGAAGACAGAGGCAACATCCACACACTGTGTTACCACTTGTTTGAACACTTTGTGAAACCTGTCTATGGGCCCTGGCTTCTATGATCCAGGGACAGATCTCAGAAGGGCAGCCAACACTCCATGGAGGCAAGGGTGGCCAAATGGTCTCATGGACTATAGACATGTTGTCAGAAAGGTCCGGTTCTTAGAAAAAAATACCATGCTTGGAAAAACAGCAAGTCAGTAAAGGAGAGAAAGACTATTAGACAAATGGACAAAGGTCTGCAACAGTGACCTGCCGCACAGGTAGGACTGTGAGCACAGTGGAGACTGTGAGGACAGTGTACAGCAACAGGACACGGTCTAGATCTGTTTTACAGAGAGGGGCTGTGAGCTGGAGTCAAGTCAACTGCATCTAACAACTACAATAGCAAAGTCTGTGGCAGCGTCAAGAAAAACTGTTGTTGTTGTTGTTGTTGTTGTTGTTATGTGCCATCAAGTCTCTTGCCACTCATAGCGACCCTATGTACAGGACCCCTAAATGCCGTTCTATCCTGTGCCAACCTCGCTGTCTCAAACACACTCATTCCCACGACTCCACTCACAGAATTGATCCATCTCATCAAGGGTCTTCCTCTCCTGTGCCGCCCCTCCACTCTGCCAAACATGATGTCCCTCTCCAAGGACCAGTCCCTCCTTGCAACATGCCCAAAGTAATGTCAGATGAAGCTCCAGAATCCTTGACTCCAAGGAGCATTCTGGCTTCACCCTCTCCAGGACAAACCCGTTTGTTCTCCTAGCAGTCCAAGGTATATTCAACACTCTTCTCCAGCACCATAGCTCAAAGACATCAATTCTCTATCATCCCTATGCACTGTCCAACTCTCCGATGCATAGCGTGTAATTGGAAAGACTATAGCCTGGATCAGGTGCACCTTAGTCTCCAGCCTGACATCGTTGCTCTTCAGTATTCTTGAGAGATGCCTCACAGCTGACTTTCCCAATCCAATTCATCTCCTGATTTCCTGGATACTGTTACCAAGAGTGTTGACTGTGGAGCCAAGTAAACTAAAACTTAACTATCTCAATCTCTTCACCATCCATACTGATGCTGCCAATTGGCCCAGTGGTGAGAATCTTTGTTTTCTTGATGCTGAGCTTCAATCCATATTGAAGACTGCTGTCCTTGACCTTCTGCAGCTTCAGGTCTTCCTCATGTGAGGATGGAGAGCTGGGAAGGGATGGCATCAGGAGTGTTTGGTTTTATGCTATGCCTCATAAACTGTGCTTTCCAAATGGCCCCTCTTCTCCTTTTCCACCTTAATCCTTGGGGATGCCAATGCCTCTTATTTTCCCTCTTGGACTCCCCAAGTCTCTGTCCTTCTCTGTACATAATTAATCAGAAACTTCATCTTCTCCTCCACACCTATAATTTCCAGGGCTGAGAAGCCCTAAAATCCAGACTCCTTGTTTCCACCACATGTGCCCCAGTACCAAGGAAACAGGCATGGCCCCCAAATGCCTGGGTGTTCTCCTCTACCTTGGATGATGGCCTCTCTTCTCCAAAGCCTCACAGGTCCCTATGATCCTACCCTAATTGCACAGGGATACAAGGATCACTATAAATACCGTATTCCCCACCGAGCCACAGGGAGAGGCTTTAAGAGGGAACAAATCCTTTATTTAAGCTCCACATTCATTGAGGTTTCCAGTGGACAGAGGGATGGAAGGGGTCATCCACCTACAAGGGCAGATGCAGCCCACTGAGCGGTGGTGGGAGCACAGGGGGAGGTCAGAGTCTGCTGGAAGAGGAGGAGCCAGTGTGTGAGGGGTCAGGGCCAGTCTCTAGCCTGGGTGACCAGGAGCCACGAAAGGGCCCCTTGTGTGATCAGCAGGGTGGCCAAGGGGAGGGTCCTGGGGGCAATGGTGCTGGTGCCAGAGAGGGTCACAGGGGTGGCTGCCCTGAAGCCTGCAGGGGTCTTGTCCTGGGGCTCCACCTTGCCCCCTGTGGACTCCAAGCAGGGTCCCCTGGATGTAGGAGCAATGTCGGGGATCCAGCCTGTAGTGTTCTCCACCACCTCCTGTGGGACCAGGATGCAAGTGAGTGTGGACACTCCCCTCTTTCCTTTCTGTCCTGAAATTACAACTGGCCATCTCCCGGCCGTGGCCCAGCCACGAGTCAGGGTATCTTCTGCTTCCCTCAGCCCGCCTGCCCCTCAGGCTCCACCTCCATCACCCGCCCCCCCCCGCTCGAACCCCCCCCCCTGTCCTACCCCCCCCAACAGGTGGTGACTCAGGACACTGACGTCAATAGTCTTGATGATCACTGTCTGCTGGGCCTCCTTGCAGGCCTTCTCTGCTTTCTTTATGTTCTCTGGAGTCCACTCAACATTGTTCATGGCCATCATGCCCTCCATGGAGCTGTCACAGCGGGAGGACCAAGAAGGAGACAGATGACCAGGGTCAGTGACCACCAGGACACAGCATGCACACACCTCCCTCACTCCTGTGAGCATCATTTCCACCTCAGCACGAATCTCACAACTGCGTGAAACTCTCAGAGTGAGTCTGACCTTGGGGAAGCATCGTCAGAGCTCAGAGGTCCAAATAAAACGAAACGTAAGAGGATCTTCTGACCAGTCAGGGACCGAACACACCGAAGCAGGTGGCAGCTGAGTCAGGAAGGGCTGTGTCTGCACCATGAGCGTTTCACTTGACAAAGCTCTTGGGCTTTGATCAGATTTCAGTGAGAACTGTTAGCTCCATGACTAAGTGTCAGTGCTCAAAGGTAAAACAGTCCGGGAAAACTGAGTGCATGAGAAAGAAGCAGAGCTTAAGCTTGGATGATCTAGCTTCTTGGGGTCACTTCTCACCTGTCCCTGAGTGGCCTCGCCGATGTGAAAAATAAGTCACAACATTCGTGCCTGTGTCAGCTGGGACAGTCAGATGATGGTGGCCAAGGTGAGGAGGATGGGGGTGCAGGCAGCCCAATGGGGGAGCTCAGGGCAGGGCCAATGGGAAGTGCTTCCTCTCCTCCCCTCCACCTGCCCCCATCTGCCCAGCCCCTCCCTGCAGGCCTGATGACCTCTCCTCTCCTCTCAGACTGACTCACTCAGAGGCCTCCTCTCCCAGTTCATGAGCCACGGAGACAATGTCGGGGTACCCCATGCAGCTGGAGATGTTGTTCCGGGGATAGTAGAAGAGGAAGATGAGGCACATCTCATTGATTGTGCTGGGCCCCCCCTGAGGAGGGGAAGACATAGGAGAACAGGGAGGAAGCAGGTGAGGCAGATGGGCCAGCCACACTGGTCTCCTTAATAGAAACCCACTCACTGTGGCAGCTTCCATGCTGTCCTCTCCAGAGACAAACAGCGCACGTCCACCATGGCCTTGACGTGGCCGCAGCCCTGATTCCACCCAAAGCCATCGCCTCCCAGCTGGCCTCCCGCCACCAACGGCTGCCAGCCGCCATCTGAACACTCCAGAGCTTCCACACTGCGGCTGGAGAAGCATTCTGGGTTCTGCCATCTGCCTGTCCACAGTTCCCTGTGGTTCCCATTATCCCACCGAAACACACAAAACACACACTCATAAATGCAGGTGTGTCTAACCACATGTGCAAGTCCTGAGTGGTGCAAACAGTTAACAAGCTTGGCTGCTAACTGAAAGGTTGGTGGTTCGAGTCTACCCAGAGACACGATGGAAGAAAGGCTTAGTGATCTAAAAGATATTAAAACCACTCGGCAGAGGGGGAAGGACAGCCATCTCACCATTAAAAACTCTACAGCCCACGGTCTGCTGCACCACAGAGGGTCAGCATGGCTTGGAGTCACCAACTACTGACTTCCTCACACCACCTATCCATCTACGGAGCCTTGGTGGCCCATCAGCAGAGAGTGGTACCAACTCAAAGGTGAGTGGTTGGAATCCACCAGCTGCCCTGTGACAATCTCCTCTCCTGCAATTTAAAGCCTCCGAAAGCCCAGTGGAGCAATGGCAAGGAGTTGATCAGTTTACTTGTCTTTAACAAATTCCCACCCACTCATTCATTCACTTGGAAATATTTTAGAGACAGAATTAAGCACAGCTGTCCGGGAAATGAAGATGAGAGACATCTGTGATTCAAGGGTTCCTCCAGCTTCAGTTCCCTCCTTCCACCCCTGCAGGTTCCCCCTTCCTTTCCTTCCAGTCACGTTGGGGTTCTTCCCACACACCTCATGCTTTCCTCACACCTGGCGTCCTCAGGCTGCTTCTCTGGGACCTCAGCTCTACATGAGTTTCCTGTGAGTTCCTCGGAGGCATTCTCCCCGTTCTTCCACCACCTTCCACCTTTATAACAACCAGCTTGGTCGTCCTACCTTCCTCTACAGCCTGCAACCAACTGGGAGTCCCATCCACCATTCCTAACATAGACTGGGCGACGGTCCTGGTAAGCATAACTCCAGCTGGCCTCCTGGGCGACAGGTGCCACAGTCAAAATGTAGGGGTTCTACACACACGGTGGTCAGTAATTATCTTATGAATAAGGAAGCTGAGGCACAAAGAGGCAGAGTAACTGTCTAAGGTCAGTAGCTGCCCTGTGGCTGGGTTGACCTTAGCACTCAGGCAGTGAGGCTACGGGGCTCTAGAATACACCCTCTGTGTGGTCTGATGGACACTGACGGAGAAAGGAGGGAGCCCCTGCACCCTCAGATGCTGAGGGAAAGAGTAACCCCATTGGAGCTTCAGAGGAAGGTTCACTGGATCCATCCACCAACAGATAAGGAGGCTCTACTGTGGACTGTCTCCATGGTGACACTGCAGCGAAAGACACTCACAAAAGTTAGGGAGTCTCGGTCCAGTGTTTGGTAGTGACACTCCACCAGCAGTTCATCGCCCTGTTGGGATCAAACAGGTGTACTGAGATTAAGTCAGAGAGGTGAGGTGCAGCCCATTGTAAGGAGCTTCGACTCCGCCCCTCACCTAGCCCCGCCCCTCAACTCCAGTCCCAGCCCCCTCACCCCCAGCTCAGCCCCTCACCTCCAGCCCCCCACCTCCAGCCTTGTTCCTCACCTCCAGCCAGCCCCTTACCTCCAGCCCCGCCCCTCACCTCCAACCCCGCCCCTCACCTTCAGCCCTGCCCCTCACCTTCAGCCCCAAACCCCTGACCTCTAGCTCAGGCCCTCTCCTCCAGCTCATCCCCTTACCTCCAGCCTCCCCACCTTTAGCCTTGTTCCTTACCTCCAGCCAGCCCCTCACCTCCAGTCCCGCCCCTCACCTCAACCCTGACCCCACCTCTAGCCCCACCCCTCACCTCCAGCTCAGGCCCTCTCCTCCAGCCCAGTCCCTCACCTCCAGCCCAGTCCTTCACCTCCAGCCCCACCTTTTGCCTCTAGGGCTGTCCCTCACCTCCAGCCCCTCTCCTCCCTGCCGTAGCCACTTCTCCCTTGTGCCAGCCCTGCCTCGCCTGCTCTGGTCAATTTCACATAACGTCCCAGTCACGCCTGAGCTCTGGCCACATCCCTTTCTTAACCACGTGTGACCACACCCACGTACTGGCCACACCTCCCTCCTCTTTAGCCCGCCCCAGCTCCAGCCCTGCCTCCCGGGTTCTCACAGGCTTGATCTCCACGCGAGCAGGTAAATCCCGCGTTTCCTGCAAGTTGAAGTCATAGGAGTCATCTTTACAGATGGTTCGGAGCTCGGACCCGTTTCTAGAGGGAGGGGAGGGAAGGAGGAGGAAACGATCAAGGCGGATAGCAAAGGCGGGGAGGATGGGCCATCCTAGGGGTGACCAGCTTGCAAGTGAACTGCAGAAGCTCCCCACAGCCCTGTCTCCAGTCTGCAGCTCCCCTACTCCCACGGCGCACATCCTAACACAATACAGGCACATTCTCCACACGCGTTCCGACATCCAGATGGGAGCTTCCGTCAATCTGGCCCCTTACCTGTACTGCACAGCCTTCAGAGCCCGGCCTGCCAGGTGGGTGTGGAGAAGGTAGCCATACACCTGTATATCGGGCACCGGGGCACCGTTGATCTGTGACAGGGAGGGCGCACCCCTGTTTTACACGAACCCTGGTCTCCATCTGCTCCTCGACTTACCCCACTGAATTCTGGGCGCTTCCTCTGAGGGTGCTGACCCTCACTCCCTGGTTCCTCCTGCCCCCTAGTCCTGACCCTCACGCTCAAAGCTCCCCAGCACCAGGCCAAGGTCATTCTCAGCACCAGGTCAAGGTCATTCTCAGCACCTGGGGCCCGGCCAGGTGGTCAGGCCAGCTGCGTGCTCACCTCCTCAAACTTCTCCGTCTTGCACAGCCCGTAGGACATGAAGGACTGGGCGCCCGGGGGGATGAAGTGGATGGGGAAGGTGAAGAAGCCCAGCTGTAGGACACCCATGTCGTATCTGCGCAGCTGAGGACTGTAGTACAGGCGGATCCCGGACGAGTCGTAGATCCCTGGACAGAAGGGAGCAGGTGACAGGCCAACAGAGGCCTGAGTCACGGGAGGGTCCTGGACGCAGGCCCGCTGTGGCCCAAGTCAGGGGAGGGTCCTGGATGCAGGCAAGCAGAGGCCAGAATCAGGGGAGGATCCAGGACACAGGCCCGCTGAGGCCTGAGTCACAGGAGGGGCCTGGCAGGGACAGCCAGCCCACCAGCAACAGCTAGCCCCTCACCAGGAAGGTTGTGGAAGTTGCTATAATGAATCTCCAGGCGGATCCACTGGGGGTCCAGGGGTGTTCCGAGAGAGATGCCCACGTCATCCGGGAACTGGTAGCTCTGTTGGAGGGAGGGGCTGGGGCAGCAGGAAGGCTGGAGACCAGATGGGGTCCACCCTCAAGCCTCCTGGCCATTTGTGGTCCACAGCTGGCAATCCCAGGTACACATGCTGGACTCACCAAGCCGCCCACGGCCCAGCCCACAATGACTTGTGAGCAGAGTGAGAAGGCCGGGTCAGCTCCGTAGCAGTCGCTGGTGCCCGTGGGGAGGATGCTGGCGTTGCCACAGGCGTACACCAGGATGTGGTGCACCATGGTCTCGTTGTGGGAGATCAGCTTGGGTTCAAACTAGACGAGGAAGAGCCAGCCTGGGTCAGGACATGCAGCCTTGTCCTTCCCCTCAGGCACCACTGCACTGTCCACCTCTCCTGTCCCCCTCACCCC